AGGAATTTATAGTGGATTTGAAAGGCAGTATTGTGTACTGGACTTGGAGTCAGTCAAGACATCTGAATCCTGATGGGCATCTCCCCTGTTCTCCCTGAGCCTTGTTTTCCTCATTTGTAAAAATGGAGGTGATAGTACTTGAAATACCCACCCCATTGGCTTATTAGTTTTGTTTGTTTGTTTATTTGTTTTTGGAGACAATTAGGATTAAGTGACTTGCCCAGGGTCCGGCAGCTAGTAAGCTTCTGAGATTGGATTTGAATTCAGGTCCTCCAGACTCCAGGGCTGTTGCTCTCTCCACTGTGCAATCTAGCTGCCCCTTTGATTTTATATTCTACTGTGTGACTTTGGGTAAGTCAATTCCCCCTCAATTTTTTTTTAGCTGTAAAATAATCTGAACTATCTACCTTACAGCTAGGATGTGCAATGGATAGATTGCTGGGCCTAGAATGAGGAAGACTCATCTTCTTGAGTTCAAATCTGCCTTCAGACACTCTTACTACCTGTGTAAGGAAGTCACTCAACTCTCTTTGCCTCAGTTCCTCATCTGCAAAATGAGCTGGAGAAGGAAGTGGCAAACCACTCCAGTATCTTTGCCAAGAAAATCCCAACGGGGGTCACAAAGAGTAGGGCATGACTGAACAACCACCTTACAAGGTTGTCATAAAGACAGTAGGTTGTAGGGAGCAGTTAGGTGGCTGCTAGGTGGCACAATGGATAGAGTACCAGCCCTGGAGTCAGGAGGACCTGAGTGCAAATCCGGCTTCAGACTAAACACTTGACCGTACTAGCTGTGTGACCCTGGGCAAGTCACTTAACCCCATTGCCTAGCAAAAAAGAAAAAAAGAGAGTAGGTTGTGAACCTTAAAGGGTTAGATGTAAAATACAATCAGGGAGTAGGATATGAAAGGGTAAATAGAAACTCTAATTGTGTAGTATATAAAAGAGGTTTCTATATTTTTAAAAAAGTTTATTAAGGAAGTTCAGGATCAATTTGATGAGTATCTTCTCATTCACCCGTTTAATCAACTTGATGAGATTAGAGGGAATGTGTCTTTGTCTAAATATAACTTTCATGAACCTAAAGTTTTAAAAACATATGTTTAAAAAAAGTTTTCACATGCTACTGGGAAATAAGAAATATAGGAAATGGGGTACAGAAGTCTATCCTGTCCTACAGGAAAATAGAAGGGGAAGGGGATAAGAGAAGGGAGGGGGAGAGATAGAAGAGAAGGCAGACCAGGGGAAGGGGTATTCAGAATGCATGCCATCTTGGGGTGGGGGGAGGGAGGAAATGGGGTGAAAATTTGGAATTCAAAAACTTGTGGGAGTGAATGTTGAGAACTCAAAATAAATAAATTATTATTAAAAAAATTAAAAAAAAAAACTTTCATGAAGGTAAATCTTATTCTGGGGACACAGAGAGCTCCTCTAATTGGTTGCCATGATTGGACTGACTCCAAGATAGCAAGTCAGGAATTCTCAAACTTTTTGGCCTCATGATCCCTTCACATTTTTAAAAAGTTGTTGAGGACCCCAAAAAGCTTTTGCTTATCTGGGTTATAACTTTATATTTATTGTATTACAAATTAAAACTGATAAAAATTGTACATACTTATTTATTAGTTCATTTAAAATATTTATTAATCCATTTAAAAACAATAGCAAATCCATTACATGTTGACATATTTTAATGAAATATATACATTTTCCAAAACAAGAAAAATTATTGAGAAGAGTGGTATTGTTTTACATATCTTTGCATATCTCTTTAATGTCTAGCTTAATAGAAGACAGCAGGATTGTCACATCTGCTACTGCATTCAATCTATTGAGATGTGTTGCTGTGTGGTTGAAATGTATGAAGAAAATCTGGCCTTACACAGATAGATACTTGGAAAAGGGAGAAGTATTTAAATAAGCAAATATTGTCTTATTATTATTAAGAAAATAGTTTTGACTTTGTGGACCCTCTGAAAGGTTGAGACTCTCACCGGTCCTTGGACCACACTTTGAGAACCCCTGTAAACTTCTGCTCCCCCTTCCCAGAGCCAATGGAGAAGGTCTTGTTGGAAGAACAATCCAACATTATGGCTACACAAGCTGGACACTGACCCAATTCTGTTCTAGTGCATGCTGGGGAATTTTCCTTTCCTATTGGCTTTGGTGGAACTCCTCTGTGGTCAGGACTTTCCCCAGCCATTCCAGCAATTCCTATCTGAGGTGGGAAGGGTGAGTTGTAGGGCTAAGTGATCCCCACCTACCCTGGCCCAGGGCCTTGTCTCAGGATCAGTCTCACCTTCAGAACTGGGAGGATAGAGTAATACCTCAGCTAGGCAAGGGCGGGAAGGGAGTGTGCTCTTTGGAGAAGAGGACCACCAACGTGACTCTTACCAATGGAAAATTCCAGCCAAGTTAGAAGGAAAAGGGAGAAGTAGAATGGCACCTTTCTCCATGATATTACTATGAGTTGCTCACCGAGTGCAGATGGCAAGTGAATAGAGTAATTTTTTAAATTTTTAAAAATTATTTTGATTTATCAACAATCACTTCCATAAGCTTTTGAGTTTTAAATTTTTCTCCCCTTCCCTCTCCACCTCTCTCCCCAAGATGGCAAGCAATCTGATGTAGGCTATACATATACATTCCTATTAAATATATTTTCACATTAGTGATGTTGTAAGAATTAGAACCAATAGGAGAAATCACCGGAAAGAGGAAACAAAACACAACAGAAGAAAAAAAAAAGTAAATAGTATACTTTGATCTGCATTCACACTCCATAGTTCTTTCTTTGGATGTGGATGGTATTTTCCATTATGAGGCCTTTGGTGATGTCTCAGATCCTTGCATTGCTGAGAAGAACTAAGTCTATCAATAGTAGTCATTGCACAGTGTTCTGCTTCTGCTCACTTCAGTCAGCATCAAACCATACAAGTCTTTCCAGGTTTATCTGAAGTCTGCCTGTTCATCATTTCTTATAGCACAATAGTATTCCATTACATTCACACATCACATTCACAATTGTGATTACTATCTGTCTTTCTCCCTATCCTTTCCCTCCCCTTTATGCTTTTCTTTTTCCTTTCTCCTTTTCCTGCCTCACTAGTGTTTTGCTTTTGACCACTGTCTCCCTCAGTCCTGCCTCCCTTCTATTAGCCCCCATCCCTTTCCTTCCCCTTCCTCTTACTACTTCTTCCCTCCCTTCTATCTCCCTTCCCTTTTCTTTCCCCTTTCCCCTCCTACTGCCCATAGGGCAAGTTAGATTTCTTTCTTTCTTTTTCTTTCTTTCTTTCTTTCTTTCTTTCTTTCTTTCTTTCTTTCTTTCTTTCTTTCTTTCTTTCTTTCTTTCTTTCTTTCTTCTTTCTTCTTTCTTCTTTCTTTTCTTTCTTTCTTCTTTCTTTCTTTCTTTCTTCTTTCTTTCTTTCTTTCTTTCTTTCTTTCTTTCTTTCTTTCTTTGCTTTTTGATGAGGCAATTGGGATTAAGTGACTTGTCCAGGATCACACAGCTAGCGTCAAGTGTCTGAGGCCAGATTTGAACTCAGGTCCTCCTGACTCCAAGGCCAGAGGTCTATCAAGGCTCACCACCTAGCTGCCCCTGCAAGTTAGAGTTCTATACCTGATTATGTTATTCCCTTCTTGAGCCAAATCTGATGGGAGTAAGGCTCAAACAATGCTCACCCCCCTCTCTTCTTTCCCTGTGCTATAACAGGTTTTTGTGTCTTTTCCTGTAATTTACCCTTGTCTGTCTCCTCTTTTACTTTTCTCTCAGTACATTTTCTTAGATCAGATTAATTCACTTACTTGGATCCATTTAACCCACTTGATTAGATTTTTTTCATCATTATATCAAAGTCAATTTATACCCACCCCCTTCATGTATACTCCTTTAACATGGTATAATAACAATACCGTTCTCAAGAGTTACAAGTGTCATCTTCCCAGTTTGCCTTTATTAATAACATGTTGTTTCTTTCTGTCCCATTTACCTTTTTATGTCTCTCTTGAGTCTTGTATTTGAAGATCAAATTTTCTGTTGAGCTCTGGTCTTTTTATCAGGAAGGTTTGGAAGTCTCCTATTAAGTTCAACATCCATCTCCACCCCTGAAAGATCATGCTCCTTTTCGATAGGTAGTTGATCCTTGGTTGTAATCCAAGCTCTTTTGCCTTACTAAATATCATATTCCATAGACAGTAATTTTTAAATAGTATCTTAATTTTCCATGGGGAGCCTAATGAATCTAATGGGCTATTCCCATGATGCATGTTTCTGTATTTGTTTTTGTTGTTCATTCTTCTTGACTCTTAGTGACTCCATTTCTTGGCAAAGATACTGAAGTGGTTTACCATTTTCTTCTCCAGCTCATTTTACAGATGAGGAGACTGATAAACAAGGTTAAGTGACTTGCCCACAGTCATACAGCTAGTAAGTGTCTGAGGTCAAATTTGAACTCAGGTCTTTCTGACTCCCATGTTCTATCTACTGCACCACTTAGCTGCTCTTCTGTATTTGTTTAGGGGCTCCATTTTCTATGGTAGGTGAAATAAAAGTAGTGCAATACCTAGTATCCATATGGTGCATTCAGTATCTTTTTGAAGAGTTGAGAACTCAATCACCCACATTTGGGGAAGCCTAGACAGGAACTTACACCTAAGCTCTATTTTTGAAGATTTTACAGGACTAACCCAGGGTAGGGGCAATGAGCCTAAGCAGAGACACTGACCCTTTGGAGTCAAACCCCGGGGGATCTAGCTGTCCCTATGAGTCCCGGGTTCTTGGGGAAAAAGGGTGTTGGAAGCTAGCCCCAGCAGGGCAATGGAAATAACACTAGACTGGGTGTCAGGAGATCTGGGTTCTAATTGTATTATAACCTTTCCCATTCTGGGCCTTGGTTTCCTCCTATGCAAAATCAGGAGATAGGACTAGATGATCTTTAAAGTCCTCATGAAATCGAATGCTCTTAAATTCTACAATTCTAGGGTAGAATCCCCGACTTGGAATGACAAATTGGCTTTCAGGGATCCGGAAGATCGCTTATTGGCAGTCCGCAGCAGTGAGGGGGCCCCCAGGGGTGGAGGGCTTGGTGTCACAACCAGCCAGGGGAAGGACCCAGGGTGGGGCTTTTCCCGAAGGTAGGTGGGTGGGCAGCCGGGGCGGGGCGGGGCCAGTCGGCCAAGCTCCTACTGCCGCTCGCTCGGCCCGAGTCCCGCAGCCGGGGGAGAATGGGGCGGTCCCGAGGCTGGGCCGTAGGACGGGGCGGGCCGTGGGCACGGGGCCCGGGCCCCGCCCTCCCTCCGCCCTCCCTCCGCCCTCGCCACCTGAGACAGGTGGAGTCGCCGGAGTGGCTGCCGGAGTCATGTCCCAGAAGAAGCCGGACCTGGAGCTCGAGCCCCCGGCGGAGTCGGCGCCGCGCTGCTCTGTGCACGCCCAGGAGCTGAAATGGTTCTGTAGCGCTGAGCGGCGGCTCGTGTGCGCCGGCTGCAAGGGATCGGGGGGCCCGTGCCGCGAGCACCACGTCCGGAGGGCCGAGGAGCGGGCGGAGGAGCTGCGGGTGAGCGCGTCGGGGAGCGATGGAAGCAGTGGGGCAGTGCGTGGGAGAACCCCCCGGGGCTGGGCGCTCCACAGTCCGGCCGGCCAGCCTGGCCACCCCGGAGACAGAGACCGGGGACTTGGTTTCTCCGGAATGTGTTGTGGGGCGCAGGGAGCCTCAGGAGCAGGTGGAGAAGGCTTGAGTAAGCATCGGGCAGGTGGACAGGCTGAGTGTGCAGTGTTGGCTTAGGAGGGCCGGGGCCGGTCCCCTCAGCTCCCGCTCCCCTCAGCGCCCAGCCTAGTGGGTGTCAGTCTCCTGAATTTTCCGCCCCCGGCTGGAGCCGGGGAAGGGACGACTGTGAGTGCTTGGGGCGGGGAGATGCTGGGGTTGGGCAGAGGTGTAACAGAAGGCCTGGGCGCGGGCAGAGGCTGGGAGTTGGGCAGCTAGCTGAGAGAGTCAGTAACTGGAGAGGGGGTAAGTAGGGACTGGGGGTGGATGGGGGCAGAGCTGTTGGGCCGCTAGCTTGGTTGGAGCTGCTGTTGGTCAGCCTGGGCTCAGGGAGGCAGCAGGGAAAGTTCTTCCAAATGATGCTAAAAAGGACCTGAGGCTGATGTACATGCCAACACCAAACAAGGCAAAAACTGTTCTTCACTTCCACGTAGAGATAGAATTATCCACTGTTGGAAAGGAATTTAGAAATCATCTGTCTTTATCGTTGTTCAGTTGTATCTGATTCTTCATGACCCCATTGAGGGTTTTCTTGGCAAAGATATTTGACTGGTTTGCAATTTCCTTCTCTAGCTCTTTTTACAGATGAGGAAACGGAGGCAAACAAGGTTAAGTGACTTGCCCAGGGTCACATAGCTAAGTGTCTGAGACGAGATTTGAATTCAGGAAGAAGAGTCTTCCTGACTCCAGGCCCTGGCACTGTATCCACTATGCCAGCTTCCTTTAAGTTCCAACTAAAATTCCACCTTCTACAGAGAAGCCTCCTCTAACCCCTCTTAATCCCAGTGCTTTCTCTCTTAATTTTGTCCTATTTTGCCTGTATGTAGCTTGCTTTGTATATATTCCTTTGCTTGTTGTCTTGCCTGTTAATTGTAAGCTTCCTGAGGGCAGGGATTGTCTTTTACCTCTTTTTGTATCCCTAGCACCTACCTAGGCACCGTGCTTAATGCATGTTTATTGAATTGAATCTAGAGAAGACCAGTCCTCTGATTTTGTACCTGAGGAAAAGGAGGTTCAGAGCTGAGGTGACTCGTCCAGTGTCACACATTGGCAGAGGTAGATTGAAACCTCAGGGTGGTATGATGCAAAGAGATTTCCTGTTGCCTTTGGAGGCTCCTTTATCCTTTTGTGGCTGCCCTGCCTGTTGGTTTTAACTAGATTTCACCTGGATAAACTCAGGTAGGGCAGAGTGTAATTGGTACTGGGCTCCTCCTACCCCTTTAGGGACAGCCACCAGCTTGGTTATAAGGTCAGTGAGAAGTTTGAAGGATCTGGAGGGAGATTATTTTTTTAATCCCTTCCTTTACATTAGCTTTATAGGACCACAACAGGTATCCTCTGGGTCCAGGTAAATCTCTCTGGCTGGTCCTCTCAGGCCTCTGAGTTGCTGGGGCATTAAGGAGGCCCCTTCAGACTGGGCCTGGAAAATAAACCCTGAAAAGGGTTTTTTTGTTCCCTTTTCCACCCACTAGATGACATAGAAACTCAAAGGGGGGCCCCAAAGTATGTAGATGGCATCAGAAATTAGCCTCTGGCACTCACCCCTTAACTCATTTGAAACTGTTTCCTAACCTCTGGGGATTTCCTTACAGTTTGTCTAAGTAAGTGTTTTTCTTCTATATCCCTAAGTCCAGCCCTAAGGCATAGGGGGCAGTTTCTGGAGGCCCAGGTTAAGTTCTTGCTCAAACAGCTGCTGGGCTAGTGATGGAGGATTGCATGGAATCTGGAAGGGGCTTCAGACCTTCCACCATGCTATTCAGCCTCTGCTGGGAAGACCTCCAAAGACAAGGAGTTCACTCGTTTGGAGGCAGCCCATTCCCTTTACAATCACACCAACACAGGGTTGTCCTGACGAAGATACTTCAGCCATCTTAAAGGGCTTATATTAGTGTGAGCTGTTAATTGTAATAATTGATAGGAAGTTTTTCCTTTTGCAGTTGTCTCCCTCTGAATTCCTCCCTAGCCCCATATTGATCCTCATTTTGCCCTCTGGGGCCAAGCAAAACAAACCTGTTTTCTCTTCTCCAGGATAAGTCCTTCAGAGATTGATTTAATCAGAGGTCAGGGTCCCTGAAGTCCCCTTACCCACTCCAAGGCACTTGTGTGTCAAGGACTCCTTTGGCAGTCTGATGAAGCCTATGGACCCCTCCTCAGAATAATATTTTTTAAATGCACAAAATAAAATACATATGATTACAAAGAAAATCAACATTTGGTGAAAATAAGGATGAATTTTTTTTCCCATCCAAGTTCATGGACTCTGGGGAGGGTCCATAGACCCCAGGTCAGGAACCCCTATTCTGGAGATAGAGGAAGCATACTTTCTATGTTGGTCCTTCAGAGTCACAATTTGTCACTGGGTTGATTAGAGTTCATAAGCCTTTCAGGGTTTTTTACATTGTTGTGGTCATTGGGTCATTGTATAATTTGTTTTTCTGGTCCTATTTTCTTTGCATCAGTTCATACAGGTTTTCCTGATTTTCTCTGAATTCTCTATATTCATTGGCACAATAATTTTCCATTACATTATTGAATTTCCTCCCCACCTTCAATTGGCAAATGCTTACCCACTTCACTTAATGGCAGTTAATTTAGTTCAAATGGACAAAATTTATCAATTATCTAAAACGTCACAAGATTCCCTATACTATTGAGTTTCAAAGACTGAGGGAGAATAAAAGCAAGTCCCCGACCTAGGAGTTTTTACAGTTTGCAGAGGAGGGGGAGAGGAGCTTTGGAGAAGACATATTTAGATAAGTGTGATACAACCCATAAAGTGATTAGTGTAAAAGGGAGGCTTAATCAAAATGGCCTCCCCTTTATATTGATCACTTTATAGGTTGTAAAGGGGAGGCCTAATCAAAATGGGTGTGGGCAGCTAAGTAGCACATTGGGTAGAGGAAACCAGGAAGAGTCATTTATGAGTTCACATCTGACTTTAGACACTTAGAAGCTGTGTGACCCTGGGCAAGTCACTTAACCCTGTTTGCCCCAGTTTCTCATGTGTAAAATGAGCTGGGGAAGGAAATGGCAAACCATCTTAATGGCTCCATCTTAATATAGGATTTTTAACATTTAATGGGTTCTGACACAGCATTCAGGTTGGCCATCTGTCATTACCCACTCTTGTCACATCATTTAAGTAATAAACCAATAAACATTTACTAAGCACCTACTATATGCCAGGCACTGTGTGAAGCTCTGGAAATACAAAGACAAAAAAGGAAACAGTCTTTGCCTTTAGGAACCTTACATTCTATCAGAGGAAATGATATAGATGCATACAAGAAGACAAAAAGTATTTGTAAAGTAAATACAAAACAATTTTTTGGGGGAATCAGGAAAGGCTTTGTGAAAGAGGTGGCACTCGAGCTGAAGGAGATTAAGGTCTAAGAGGAAAAGATGAGGAGGAATCATGTTCCAGGAATGGGAGACAGCCTACCTAGCATCATGGAGATAGAATGTGCAGTGTCAGAAACAATAAGGAGGCAAATTTGGCTGAAACACAGAGGAAGGGGAAAGGAGTAAAGGAATAAGAACAAAACTGAGTTAAGGGAGAAAGGTCACTGTTTTTCTTCCTCTTGCTTAGTGGAATTGCTGCCCCTAATACAATATGGCTGGTAAAAAGTTGTCTTACATGTAAAGTAGGTAAAGATACCAGGAGAATGAGAAAAATCTTGGATTCTATCATTATCTTCCCAAAAATGATGAGAAAGACATCAGCAACTATTATTCCATTAAGCCCACTTTTCTCATGTTAAAAAAAAAATCTTGATACGGACAATCTATACATATATCCAGCATATTCTTCCTGGAAACAAAATGATATTGAAACAAGAAAGCTTTCACAGATAATCTTCAACCAGTAACACAACTAATTGAAAGGTACAGCAAATACCAAGATCCCACTGTGTTGATTATTGATTACCAAAAAGCATTCAACATGACATAACAAAACATAGCCTTAAAGATTTTCCTTTAACAAGGCATTTCCCCTGACATTAAAACCACACAAGATTTCTGATTGATGCAAACACAGAGATAACTTCGTCCAACAATCGTCTGATTATCAATATCAAGCAAAGCATAAAATAGGGACATACACGCTTCCCAAATGTGTTTCCCATAACCATCGAAGATATGATTATGTAAGGGCAAAATGTAAGAAGGATTCCCTACAGATGATGAAACCCTCCAAATGTGTCTATTGTCAGCTGAAATTGAGCTGACTTCATCAAATCCCAGAGTACCGCAGAGCTTACATTTAATGAGATTCATAATCATTCAAAAGAGATGGACCTAGTAATTCACACAAAACCCCCAAGTGTACAAAGACTGCATATTTCTTAGGTTATGGCTGAAGCTGGATGAGCAGTCCATTAAGTTAATTCATCAGTACATATATCTTTGATGGGCACTGCATTTGGATAATGAGCTAGACACAGAATTGAAGAGAGGAAGACAGAGGGCTGGACTGCATCTGGGAAACTGCAATGTTTTCAGTGATCTGAAGCTATTTCTTGCAACAAAAGCCAATCTTCTTGATGCCAGTATATTTATTCTGATGCTATATGGTTGTGAATAATTTAAACCACAATTAACATGAAATTAAAACTGTAGGTGGAAAAAGGTTAATATGATTGTAGCATATTGCCAACTATGAATTATGCCCAAGAAGTGGCATGTAATATATTTATTAAGGAAATATCTTTTATTAGAAAAGAAGGTATGTTGGTCATGAATGAAAGATAACTGATGAACAACAGAGATGCTATAGCAATGTCTGTGAAATGTGTTTTTAAAAACAGTTCTAGAAGAAGGTCTTCAGCAATCTAGGTAGATCCTCTATGGCAGATTTATTGGGGCGTGGGGTGGGGAGAGATGAACAAGAATTGTACAACACACAGAAGTTAATATTTGTGCCAACAGAATAGCTACAATGAGGATCTCTCAAACTCTTGAGGATGTACAAACTGGGAACTTGTTAAAGATCACTAGGTGCCAGGGTCAGTTTCATTCCCCCTTTCCATACCATTGCTGGTGCTGCTCCCTATCTCTTCGCCTGAGACCCTACCTATCCATTAAGACCCATTTGAAATCCTCCCTCCTTTGTGAAACTCTTCCTGACCAACAAAGGCCCAGAGAGTTCTCCCCCTCTGACCACCTGAAGCACTGATTTTTTGCTCTATGCAGAAAAGTGCCTTTGGCACTTTATCATATAATGCCTTTAGATTCTGCTCTATTTTTTAAATTCATTAGTTTTATTTAGCTTTTCTTGTCTATAAATTCTGTCTCTCTAACTAGACAACAGTCTCTCTCCTTATCTTATGCTGCTCTCAACATTTCTGAGAACACATAACAAGTCCCTTGTACGTCACATGCATTCAATTTAAACTCTGCTGACCAGTTTGAGTCTGGCTGAATTTCCTGGGTACTTTGATTTGGGGAAGGGTTGGCTCTGTTCTCTCTCAACCATCACCTAAGCTACTGAGAGTACAAGCAAAAAGTCAGATGTTTTACACTTAAGCAAAAATAACGGGAAAAGTAGGATGTTCTTCTGTTCCTGGAGCAGGGACTCACAATATCAATACCTCTAGTATTTTTCTTTAGGATTAAATAGTCAATCAATTAATCAGGGGGAAGGGAGAAGGTAATAAGCATTTATTAAATGCCAACTATATGTCAGGCATTGTACTAAGTGCTTCATTATCCCATTTAATCCTCATAACAGCAGGGGGGGTAAGGGGAGAGAGGGGGGTAGGTGCTAAAATTATCTCCATTATATAGTTGAGGAAACTGAAGCAGAAAGAGGTTAAGTGACTTGTCCAGGGTTATACAGCTAGTGTCTGAGCTTGGATTTGACCTCAGGTCTTCCTGACTCCAGGCTAGCATTCTACCTACCGTGCCACTTAGGTGTCAACAAATGCCAATAAGTGTTTATTAAGTGCCTGTGATATACCAGGGACTGTTCTAGGTAATGCAGATACAAAGATAAAAATTAAACAGTCTCTGTTCTCAAGGAGCTTATACCCTATGCGGGAAATAACATATATAGATAAGGATAGGGATATGGATTTAGACATAGATTTATATACGTATGTAAAGTACATATAAACTAAATAAAGTTAATTTAGATATAAGATTTATACACATACGTAAAGTATATATAAAATAAATAAATACAAGTTAATTTGGAGAGGGAGATACTAGCAGCTGGAGAAATCAAGAAACGTTTCTTCTAGAAGGTGGTGCTTCCGCTAAGTTTAGATGGAAGCTGGGTACTCTAAAAGGGGGAGGTAAAAAAGGCCTGTGTACTTGGCAGGCATGGGGAAGAGGAAGTGTAAGGGTATGGAGATAAGAGATGGAGGGTCATGGGACAGGAACAGTAAGATGGCATTTTGACTGGGCTGTGTATAGTAAGCGCTAGAAAGGCCGGTTGGAGCCAGGTTGTGAAGAGTTTTAAATGACAAACAGAAGAGTTTATGGTTAATTCTACAAGTAATATGGAACCACTAATTATGTAGTACTAACTACTCTTTTATTAGTTTGGGTTTTTTTTCCCCAGAGGTTGGACAAACTCCCTATACAATGACAATTCATCACCACTCACCTGGGCTGTTTTAATAGCTAACTGGTCTCTGCTTCTGGTCTCTCCTCTCTAATCCATTCTCCACACAGCTGCCAAATTGATATTCATAAAACATCTGACCACATATACCACTCTGCTATTTGAAAATCTTCATTTGGCTCCTTATTATTGCCTTTAGGATAAAATGCAAAAATCCTCAGGCTGGCATTTGAAGCCCTTTACAGGCTGGCTTCTGCCTATCTCTTCAGTCTGACTCACATCATTCCCCTTCACACACTCTCCACTCCTGCAATGGGCCTGCCAGCTGTTTGCTCTATGCAACATTTCATCTTCTGCCCCTCTGCCTTTGTGCCTCTGCCAGGGGTCCTCCATATGCCTGGAATGTACTTCCTTCCCCCTTCCCTCCCTCCCTCCTCATCTGGGCTTTCTTCCACATACAGCTCAGATCTAACTTCCTTTTCTGATCCCCCCAGTTGTTAGTATTCTCTCCATCCTAAAAATCACTTTCTGTTTCTTTCTATAAAGTTCACTTCTGTGGTTACCCCCATCCCCTGTAAACACTGCAAACAGAGATGGCTTTGGATTTGCCTCTGTATCTTCAGAGTCCAGGGCAGTACCTTGCACATAGCAGGTATTTTAAAATGACTGTTGAATTAAATTGAACACACCTTAGTGATTTCCCGTTCGTGTCCTTTGAACTGTTTCATTATATCTCCACATCTCCAATTGTAGGCCACAACCATCTGAGGAGAAAGTAGTTAGAACCATTTAACTTGACCACTACCTTTTGATTCAAATCAATACTCAAGTACTATACCTATCGTTCACAGGCCCCTGTCCTTACGCCACTTACTCTTAGTATTCTTCATCCTCATCCCTCCACACTGTGAATGGTTTCACCCTTTCCTTTGACACATCATATCACCCTGATTCCATTTAATTCACTTCATTGACTTCTCATCACTTTCTAGATGACCTCCTACTCATCTTTTCTCCTCTCCACACAAGCTAAGCTGAAATCTAAAGGGTCTAATAAAGTAAACTCAAAAGACAGTTTGCAGAAGTTAAGGGTTAATGCACTGGCCTTAAAAAAAAAAAGTTGCTCTTTCTGCGACAAGTGTGTGCAAGATGGCGCCGCCAAAAGATAAGAAGGCTAAGAGATCAACTTGGAAGTTTAACCTTGACCTTACTCATCCAGTTGAAGATGGAATCTTTGATTCTGGAAATCTTGAGCAATTCTTGAAGGAGAAAGTTAAAGTCAATGGAAAAACGGGGAATCTAGGGAATGTTGTTCATATTGAATGCTTCAAGAATAAGATCACTGCTGTGTCAGAGAAGCAGTTCTCTAAACGATACTTAAAATATCTTACCAAGAAATATCTTAAGAATAATCTTCACGATTGGCTTTGTGTGGTTGCATCTGACAAGGAGACTTACGAACTACGTTATTTCCAGATTAGTCAAGATGAGGAAGGTTCTGAATCTGAAGATTAAATGGGAACCTGAGCCCTTTCTTGGGGGCTTTGAATTTTAAAAGTGTTCAAAAGAATAAAACATTATGAATATACTTTAATTTATTGGCAAATAAAACTTACAACAATGTTAAGACCTTGTTGTGTTTCAAGGTCTTAAGATTAAGACAAAAAAAAAGTCACTGATATGTTTTGTTATGAATATATCCCATTCATTCCTGTTTGAAATTGAATCTCCTTAGCTTGGCCAACATGATAAAACAAGTAAATGAAAAATGTTAGAGAAGATGTGGGAAAATTGGAACACATTGTTGGTGCAGTTGTGAAATGATCCAACCATTCTGGAGAGCAATTTGGAACCCTGCCCAAAAAGCTATAAAAATGTGCATACCCTTTGACCCAGCAAATAACACTTCTAGGGTTGCATCCCAGAGAGATCATACAGATGGGAAAAGGACCCACATGTACAAAAATATTTACAGCAGCTCTTTTTGTGGTGGCAAAGAATTAGAAATTGAGAGGATGCCCATCAATTGGGGAATGGCTGAACAAGCTGTGATACATGAATGTAATGGAATACTATTGTGATATAAGAAATGATGAACAGGCAGACTTTAAAAAAACCTGGAAAGACTTGTGTGGTCTGATGCTGAATGAAGTGAGTAGAACCAGAACAACGCTGTACACGGCAATAGCCACGTTGTGCAATGACTAATATTGATAGACTTAGCCCTTCTCAGCAATGCAAGGATCTAAGACATCTCAAAAGGCCTTATGATGGAAAATGCTATCCACATCAAAAGAAAGAACTATGGAGTTTAAATGCAGATTGAAGCATACTATTTGCTGTTTTTTTCTTTCTGTCGTGTTTTGTTTCCTCTTTCTTGTGGTTCCTCCTACTGGTTCTAATTCTTACTTACAACATCACTAACGTGAAAATATATTTAATAGGAATATATATGTATAGCCTATATCAGATTGTGTGCCGTCTTGGGGAGGGAGGGGGAGAAAAATTTAAAACTCAAAAGCTTATGGAAGTGAATACTGATAAATCAAAATAAATTAATTAAAAAAAAAGAAATTGAATCTCCTTTGTAGCAAATGAAAAGTTAAGCAAAAACAACAATACAGTGACCACATCTACTGATGTACACAACATTCTGAACCCTGCAGTGCCTCAACTCTCTGCCATATAGAGAGGCAGTTCATTATTAGTTCTCCAAGACTGAGATTTGAGTATTATAATTACTAGAGTATGGCTTCTTTTAATTGTTCTTTTCATTAATGTTATTGCAGGGGACAGCTAGATGACACAGTGGATAGACTGCCCAGCCTGGAGTCAGGAAGACTCATTACCCTGATCTTAAACCTGACTTCAGGAACCTATTAGCTATGTGACCCTGGGCAAGTCATTTAACCCTGTCTGCCTCAGTTTCCTCATCTGTAAAATGAGCTGGAGAAGGAAATGGTCAACCACTTCAGTACCTTTGCCAAAAAAATCACATTTGCATACCATGATTTGTTCTTTGTTGTTCAGTCACTTCACACTCTTCTTGACTCCATTTGGGGTTTCTTGGCATAGGTATTAGAGTAGTTGGTCAATTCCTTCTCCAGATCATTTTACAGATGAGGAAACTGAGGCAGACAGGGTTAATGACTTGCCTAGGGTCACACAGCTAGTAAGTGCCTGAGGTCAGGTTTGAGATCAAGAAGATGAATCTTCGTGACTCTAGGTGCTCTATCCACTGCACCACCTAGCTGCCCATGAACACAGATGAAGAATTTGTTCAGCCATTCCCTAATTGATGGGCACCTCCTTTGTGTCTACTTCTTTGTTGACACAAAAAATGCTTCAATGCATATTTTGGTATATATTGTACCTTTCTATCTTTGTCCTTCTTAGGCCATATGCTGAGAAGGTCAAAAGGCATAAACAATTTAGTTACTTTTCTTGAAAAAGTCCAAATCGTTTTCCAGAACTTTTGGACTTTTAAGAAAAAATAATGGCAGCTAGGTGGCGTAGTGGATAGAGCAGTGGCCCTGGAGTCAGGGGGACCTGAGTTCAAATGTGACCTCAGACATACTTACTTGCTATGTGACTCCTGGGCAAGTCACTTAACCCCAACTGCCTCCAAACAATGAAAGAAAATATAAAAAACATAGGAAATAAAGCGATCACATGCAAAAATATGATGGGGAGGGGAGTGCTAGAATAAGGTGTGAACATGGCTCCTCAAACCTGAGAGAGAAAGCTACCAGCACAGAACAAGCTGAACAATCTCATTCAGCAAATCAATGGTTCCTAAATCTGTAACTGCAGACTGTAGATACTTCTAACTCCAAACTTTTAAATTCTAATTTTAAGATTATCAACTACATTTAATCAAATCTGTTCTCCCAGAGCCACTCTAATTATTCTGCTCACCCATGGAACAACTGGCACTGTCATCTTTACCTTATCTTTTCCTCCTGAAACACAAATGTCTGAATTCACAGCAGTAACTGAGTTGACAGCATCAGTGTGAGCTTGTTTGTACTCCTGGACCACTTTAGTAGATCCATTCTCCTCCACGTATCCTTCAGTTCTGGTAAAGAGGGCAGTTAAATCAAAGGGTGGAAGTTTCAGGAGGGTAGAGGAAGAAGCTACTGGGACTAGGGAAAGGAATGATCTGAAGTGAAATGGGTATGTTGGGCCAACATAAGCACAGAAAATGCTGGGGCAATCAGACACTAAAAGGCTTGCTAAGAACTGGGAGTTGTTATTTCTCTATAAATGCTCAGATAAACTGAATACAGACAAATAAACAGGTCTTGTTAGTGCTCAGGTAATTTTCCACAAAGATTTGCAGGCTTTCCCAACTTAGAAAGAGGCACTAGCAATGTCAAGACTTTTGGGACCTATCCAGCCCAACAGGAACACATCAATTTGTCCTTCAAGGGATGGTAATTCAGCCTCCCTGGCCACCCTCTCTAAGCTGTTTTGTTCAGTGGAAGGGTGAAGTGTTGGCTAGTGATATGGCTCTGGGCTGGAAAGCCTGGGGAGCCCTGGGTTACAGCAAGGTCACTGTACCTGTATCTGTAGGTGTTATGTTTGATTTTGCTCTGGAGCTTGCCCATGGTTCAAAGCACTCGGTCAACACCTTCGCCAATGCCACCTGCCCCTGCTGGCACATCTGAGCTGGCATTCCTGGGGATCTGCAAAAGTCATATATCACCTGGATGTTACAAGAACAACAATTTTACCAGCGACGAAGAAGCAAGGGCAGATGGTCAGAAGGCTTGCCACTAGGCATCTGGGTTAGTAATTAAGAGATGTGGTGCCTTTTGATTCTCTTTTCATACCAATGAATGAATGAATCAATGAACCAATAAATATTTAAGCACTTTCTATGTGCCAGGAACTATGGAGATAAAAGGATGAAGAATGAAACAATAAAATCAGTTCTGCTAAAATGACTGTTTTGAAAATGTAAATTTGTTCCAATGTGATTGATACATTAGGGAACATTTTGAACATCATGCTAATTTCAAGTCTGCTTCTGCCCAACTTCTTCCAGGGACTAAGAGTGAGAATGCAGAAAACTACATCATTTTGCAATAACTCACAAGCAGTAACCTTTCCAAAGTCAACTTCTAGAAGCAAACCTGAGATGTCTGTCAAGGTAACAGTGCCATATTTATTGTACTTCTGGCGCAGCAGGAGCTGTGGGCAGAGAAGGGCTGATCCATACCATTTTTAAACCCTTCTGATAAGACCTTAAGGCAGAAGCTCAGAGTTTCAGCCCTCCCAACTACTTCCTTGTGTGCTGCTGAAAAGGGGTGAGGGGGGTGAGAGGGAGGTCAAGCAGCAGTCCAAGGAAGTGTCCACTATCTGTGATAGTATTTGTGTATTTCTTAACCATTTGACATTAACAAAACTGGGCTACTGTTTTTAACTAGGTTCCTATCTTTTTTTTGTCCTAATGTGTCACCAAATTTTTCAGCATTTTGCCTCAAACCTATTTTTTTTTAGCAGATGGTTTCTTTACTATCCCAGAGGTGCACCACAAATCCTATTGGTTAATCTTTCAAATAAATTTCATTTGATTAATTTTCTGAGTTTCAGGCTGGCAAAGGGAGTTGGTGCCACTACATTGAATGACATCCAGGAATGATGTCCACAGATTTTTTCAAGAAGGAAGTCAAATTATTTCCTAAAAGTCAGATAGGGAAAAATTCCCCAAAAGGAACAGCAACTCTTTATTATGGGAGAGCCTCTGATAAAAGAATAACCCCTAAATGGAATGAAAGAACCATGACTTTAAATAATATAATTATGTATCAGAAACCTAGGCTATCTACCTTTATTTTTTTTTAAATTTTATTAATTTATTTTGATTTATCGACAATCACTTCCATATGCTTTTGAGTTGAAAATTTTTCTCCCCCTTCCTCCCCTCCCCCCTCCCCAAGACGGCACACAATTTCATATAGGCTTTACGTTTACATACCCATTAAAAATATTTTCACATTAGTGAAGTTGTAAGTAAAAATTAAAACCAATAGGAGGAACCACAAACCTATTTTTTTATTGAGAGATTTTGCATAAAGTGGTGCTTTTTTTGGTCCAATTATAGTGAAACTGTACCTGCTCTCAATGAGTTTACATTTGATTGGTGGAGACAATAAATACATATTATATACAGCCTAAGTATAAAGTGAATAAATACAAATATATACAAAGTAGTTAAATGCAAGGTAGTTTGTGAGGAAGGACAATAGCAGGAACAGGATAGGTTTCATGAAGAAGATAGTGTCTTAAAGGAAGGAAGGGTCTCTATGAGGAGGAGGTAAGAGGGGAGTGTGCCCCACGTGTGGAACAGCCAATGTAAAAGCACAGAGATGGGAGATAGGAGTGTCATATGAAAGAAACAGAGAGAAGGTGGGTTTGGCTGGAGAGCAGAGTTCAGGAGGTGGAGTAATGTCCAGGGAAGCTAGAAAAATAGCTTGGGGTCAGGATGCATAGAGGTTTAAAAACTAGAGAGTTTATATTTTATCCTAGAGATAATGAGAGTTTTACAGGATTGGCATGGTTACATCTGTACATAAGTTAAATTACTTTGGCAATTGTGCAGAATGGACTGGAGTAGTGAAAGTCTTAAGGCAAGAATGCCAAAATAGGAGGCTGCTGTAATAACCTATGGATTCAGGAGGGGGGCGGGTTGAAGGCCTGAACTAAGGTGGTAGCTACATGAATAGAAAGAAGGGATCAGTTATGAGATATGTTGTGAAGGCAGAAACAGCAAGATTTGGTGACTGATTGTATATATAGGTGGAAAAACCTGAACGATGGTGATGCCTTCAACAGAAACAGTGAAGTTTGGAGCAGGAAAGGTTTGGGGGAGATGATGATGAGCACAATTTTGGACACGCTGAGTTTGAGGTGTCTTCAGGACATTTGGTCTGAAATGCCTAATACATGACTGATGATGCAAGACTGAAGATAGGGGAAAAACTGGGAGCCATCTGCATAGCTGGTAGTTAAACTCGTGAAAATTGATGAGGTTACTAAGAGACAGAGCACAGAGAAGAGAGTGTGCGCCATAACCCTGGGGAACACTTCCAGATGAGGGTGTGTAATACGGATGATGAGCTGGCAAAGGAGACTGAGAAGGAACTGTCAGACAGGAGGTGGAGGATCATGGGGACCCAGAGAAGACAGAATATTCATGAGGAGAGAATCACCAAGAGTACTAAAAGCAGACGAAGGATGAGGACTGCAGATGAGACAACTAAGGGAACATTGATAACTTTGGAGACAGCAGCTCCAGTTTAAAGAAGTCAGGAGTCAGATTGCAAAGAGCTGTTAACAGCTCAGTGAGAGGAGAAGAAATGGAAACGGTTAGCATCGACTACTTTTTCAAGGTGTTTGGTTGAGAAACAGAGGATAAGAGCTTCAGTGTGATGGTAGGATTAGTGAAGGTTTTTTAAGGGTAGTAAAGGCTTAGGTAACATGTTTGAAGGCAGAAGAAATGAACCTGGAAGTGAGAAATGGCCGAAGATTTCAGAGAAAAGAAGGAGGAGATGATTGAGGATGTAATCTTCTACAGAAGGTGGGAGGGGAGGGGGATAAAAAACCAGACACCTGGACTCAGATTTCTATGAAGTTAGGAGAACTAAACAGAGATAGGGGAATCACTCCCCTCCTCCTCTCCAAAGGGGTTTGGTCTCTCCAGATAGATAAGAAGGAATTCATGGGAAGCAACAGCCCCAAGAAAAGAAACTCTGCCTTGTGAATATCTCTACTTATTTCCTCTAGGAAGAACTGTTTCTAGGGATACACCTCAATTGTGGCTAGAGAGTACTCTGCATATAGCAGATGCTGCTTAAATGTTTGCTGAAGTAGACAAGATGTCCGGACTCCTAATCTACCAAATTATTCCTTTTCCCAAGACTATGACAAATATTTAAAAAGTAAACAAAAATGGCATTTCCCCCCCCTATATTTGGTACTGTAATTGCACTGGTCTCATTCTGAAATAATTTGACTGGGTTCTTAATTCTTCAAGTGCCAACATTTTATTTGTAAAAAGCATCTTCGAGTTGGCCAGTGTGGGAATTTGTTTTCCTTGACTGTATAGTCATAATAAATTTTCTTTCTCTTTCTTTTGGGGGGGGTGGGGGGGGCAGGAGGAAGAAAATGCAGACCTGAAAATAAAATAAAATTTATTTTTTAAAAAAGCATTTGTAGGGCTTTACAATAAAAAGATAACTTTTAAAATTACCCCAAATCCTAACTAAATCTGTGTGGCAAATGGATATATCTGAAGATTTCCAAAGTTTGTTCTGGGAGAAGTGATTCAGATAGCCCCTTGCTAGTCACTGCAATTAGTAATAATATATTTAGTTATTCTTTCTCATTGGCCATATAATTCCATAGCAAAAAGTTTTATAAAATAACCTTTCTTTTCAAAAGAACTTTTCAAATTTTGAGATTAATTTCATTTTTTCCAATTGGAAAAATGTACAGTAGTGCAAACATTCTTAGGAACAAATGATATGCATAGAAACCTCAGAGGTAATTTAGTTCATCCTCCTCATAAATGTTTCAGGGTAATTTTAGATTCCACTAACATGTTGTTATTTCATCCATTCATTGGATAATCTGTTTCTTTGGAGTTTCTAGTTTTGTGATGACAATTTCACCTATTTTAAACTATATATTATACACACACACATAAATACACACACATAAAAGAATGACTCACTGAGTAATAGAATGTCAGAGCTGGAAAGGCCCTTATACACCATCTAATCTAACCTCCTCATTTTACATATGGGGAAACTGAGACCTAAAAAAGGGAAGTGATTTCCCAGCGTCACACAAAGAGCCAGTAAAAGGCATCATGAGGGCCCGTGGGGTGACTAATGGAGGGAAAAGGAAAGAGGGAGACAGGGAAGGAGAAGGGGTATCAGCCTTACTTCTAGAGGACCCCCCCCATCAGGGGCCAGGAAACCCAACAAAGGCGGGAGAGGGGAGAGAGGCAGAACGATGGAGGTCATTAGCTCATAAAGATTCAAGCTGGAAGCTGGGATTTAACGGTTATCTAATCTTTTAGGACTATAATCTGAGGCTGGAAGGGCTTTTGTGAGTCATGGGGTTCTATTCTCTCATTCACAGATGAAGAAGCTGAGGTTCAGGGAAGTTAACCTCAAGAGCACATAGATGGCCGAGGCTGGATTTGAACCCAAGTCCTCCAGTCCAGAGCCGTGGGCCTCGCCCCGGCACCATCCAGCGAGGGCCGCGAAGGGGGAACCTCGGTGGCCGCCCCTCCGCTGTGGGGCTACAGTCTGACCGGGGGGGGGGGAAGTCTCGTGGGGGCCCTGTCCAGCCCCCGCCTCTGGTACGGGAATCGGTGTCCCAACGCTGCAGGCGTTCGGCTCTCCTCCCTAGCCCGCCCCCCTCCCACGTTCCCTACCACCTTCATCCCCACTCCGTACGCACTATCAGAGGCTGAGGCAGGGTTGGAGAGGAGGCCTGGGGTCTGCAACTTCCAGACTCCATGCGCACAGGAATCCGTTCTTCAGGCCGTCCCTTAGCAACGAGGCGCCCGTCGCTAGGGCGGCTGTGTGCCGGCGAAATGCGTCCGGGCGGCAGCGCGGGAGGGGCCGAAAAGGGTTCCGCCAACCTAGAGGCCCCGCCCCCGGCTGTGCCAAGCTCCTCCTCCCAGGGCGGGACTGCCCCGCCTCCTCTTCCTCCCCGCGGGGGCCTCCCCCCTCCTCCGGAGCTCTCGGCTTCCCCACCGCCCTGTCCCTGAGATCTCGTACACTCCCAGACTGGGTCCTCAGGGGAGCCCACTGTGCATAAAGGACAGGTGACTTGCCCTGGCCTGCAAAGGTACCTGGCCGCTGCCTCTTCCATCTGCTACCAGACCGGGATTCGAATTCTTCTGGTGTCAGAGAGCTGTCTTGCCTTGGGCAAGTCAGCAAGGGGGTGGCTGGGGAGGGCATTGTGAGCCGGGCCTGGGGTCAGGAAGACCCGAGGTCAGATACATCCAAATACAGTCTCAGAAGCTTAACCAGTTTGTGACCCCTGGGCAAATCACTTAACCCTTTGTCTGCCTCAATTTCCTCATCTGTAAAATGGGTAAGATAGTACTAACACCTACCTCCCAGGGTTGTTGTCAGGTTCAAAAGAGAAAATATTTGTAAAGGGGTTAAATCATTATGTAAAAGTTAGTTATGATTAAGTCACTCAGTACTCCCTGGGCCTCAGTTTTCTTATCTGTACAATGAGTAAGTTGGACAAGATGGCCTCAGAGGTCTCTTCCAGACATATATGATCCCATGATTCTTTTTTTACTTAAAAAAAGTGTTCTTAATTTAACAAACACCAAATAAAGTGAGCATCTCCATCTATAAGTAGAACAAGAGAGGATTGTATATGAAAGTGTCAATATTGTTCAGAGCTTGCTTTTCAAGTATATAATAAAGTCCACGTGAAACTTGCAAAGCTGTTCTGCTGGTCTGTGATTCCTTTTGGTTTTCTGTTTTCTTCTCCCTAGGGAGCCCAAGTGGGGCTGAGAGGCTTGAAACTCCTGTTCTAGATTTCCTTTCCCTCCTACCTCCTGTCTTTCTTTGGGAGAAAAAAGAAAAAAAGAAAACTCTTGTAACAAATATACATAGCTAAGCAAAACAAATTCTGACATTGGCCATGTCCAAAAAAAATATGTCTCATTCTGCATCTTCAGTTAGTCAATTCATTAAATGTCTACTTACATGTCAGGCTCCGTGCTACTTACTAGGGATACAAAGAAAGGGAAAAGACAGTCCCTGCTGTCAAGGAGATCACAGTCTAATGGGTGAGACAAATGCAAACATCTATATACACACAAGATTTTGTGTATAGATATAGGTACACACACAATAAATTGGAAAGAACAAAGGCATTAGAATAAAGGGGAATGAGGAAAGGCTTCCTGTAGAAGGTGAAATTTTAAGTGGGTCTTGAAGGAAATCTTCAATCTATCACTCCTCTGTCAAGAAGGTGACAGAGGTCACCTGCATTAACCTCTGGTAATGACTTCAAGGTAGAGGACCTCAAGGTGGGTAGCATGTTTCATCACTAGCACTCTAGAATCATGATTAAGCCTATGATTCTTTTTTTTAATAGTATTTTATTTTTTTCCAACTACATATAAAGGCAGTTTTTAACATTCCTTTTTTTAAATAAAATTTTGAGTTCCAAATTCTCTCCCTCTCTCTGTAAGACAGTAAGCAATTTGATATAGGTTATACATGTACAATCATATAAAACATTTCCGTATTAATCATATTGTGAAAGAAGAAACAGTTTGTAAAAAAAAAAAAGAAAATTACAATTTGCAGAAGGAAAAAAAATCATGAAAAAAGTGAAAATAGTATGCTTCCATCTGCATTCAGACTCCATAGTTCTTTCAGGAATGTGGATAGCATTTTCCATCATGTGTCTTTTGGAATTGTCTTTGCATACAATTTGTCATTGTATTGCTGAGAAGAGCCAAGTCTATCAAAGTTGATCATTGCACAATGTTGCTGTTATTGTGTATAGTGTTCTGGTTCTGCTTACTTCACTCAGCATCTGTTCATGTAAGTCTTTCCAGGTTTTTCTGAGAGCCACCTACTCATCATTTCTTATATTGCAATAGTATTCCTTTACATTCATATACCACAACTTGTTCAGCCATTCCCCAATTGATGGGCATCCATTCAGTTACCAATTCTTTGCCACTACCAAGAGAGCTGCTATAAATACATGTGGGTCCTTTTCCCTTTTTCATGCTCCCTTTGGGATACAGACCTAGTAGTGGTATTGCTGGGACAGAGGGTATGCAGTTTGATTGCCCTTTGGAACTTGTTCCGAATTTGAGCCTATGATTCTTGGGGGCAGGGACCTTTTGTCTCTGTATCCAGGAAGTCAATGAGGTGGAGGTGAGAAGAGAAGGATTCTAGGCAAATGTATAATGACCAATGCAAAGGCACACACAGAGAAAGGTGATAGAGTGCCCTGTGTGGAGAAAAGGGAGAAGAGCTGTCTGTCTAGATAACAGTGTGCAAGGGAGTCAGGTCTGTTGAGATTGGAAAGCTAAGTTGGGGCCAGGTTGTGATGGTCTTTACAAGCCAACAGACAAGTTTCTATTGCACCCTAGAGGCAATAGGGAGCCACTGGAGTTAATTAAGGGAATGACAGAAAGATGTGTGCTTAAGAAAAATGACTTTGGTAGCAGTATGTAGGATGCACTAGAGTGGGAAGAGACCTGAAGGCTGGTTTTCAAAGAAGCATAGGAATTAGAGACCAAACTGCCAACATTCGCTAGATTCTGGAGAAAACAAGGGAATTCCAGAAAAACATCAACTTCTGCTTCATTGACTACACTAAAGCCTTGAACTGTGTGGATCACAATAGAATATGGTAAGTCTTCAGGGAGATCAGAGTACCAGCTCATCTTCCTTGTCTCCTGAAGAATTTATATGCCGGCCAAGAAACGACAATTAAAACCAACCATGGAACGACTGATCAGTTTAAGATTGAGAACGGATCACGACAGGCTGTATATTGTCGCTTTATTTAACTTGTATGCAGAGTGCATCATGCGAAATGCCATGATGGATGAATCAAAAGCTGGAATTAAGATTGCTAGAAGAAATAGCAACAATCTCAAATATGCAGATGATACCACTCTGATGGCAGGAACTGAAAAGGAATTAAGAAGCATCTTGATGATGGTGGCTTGGAGAGTGTAAAAACTGGCTTGAATCTTAACGTTAAAAAAGAAAAAACAACTAAGATCTTAGCAGCTGGGGACTATACTAAGTGCTGGCAAAAGAAAGGCAAAAACAGTCTTTGCTCTCAAGGAACTCACATTCTAATGTAGGTATCTAAATAATTAGGTACCTACAAGACATACAGAGAGAGTGGATGGAAGGTGATCTCAGAAGGGAAAGCACTATTGGGGGAGGAGATGGGAGAAGTAGTCACCAAAAAGGTGAGGTTTGAAATGAGTTTTCAAAGAAGTAGGGGCAGCTAGGTGGCACAGTGGGTGGAGCACCAAGCCCTGGAGTCCGGATGTCCTGAGTTCAAATCCAGCCTCAAATGCTTATTGGCTGTGTGACCCTGGGCAAGTCACTTAACCCTGATTGCCTCAAAAAATGAAATAAAAGAAGTCAGAGAAGCTCAGGGGTGGGGAAGAAGGAAGTCGAGCATTCCACCATTACAAAGTTGTGAAGATGGAAGATGAAGGGTCCTATTAGAACAACAAATTAGCCTGTGTAGCATACATGAAGCAGAGTATTGTGTAAAAAGGCTGCAAAGGTAGGTAGAGATAAAGTTATAAGAATCTTGAGAGGCCAGAGGGACTCATCTTCAAAAACTACATTGCTAATGAAAGAGAAATTCCCTCTTCTAGTCTCACAACAATCTAGTTGAAATCTCCCAAGGCTTAGTTTAAAAAAAAAATTCTTAGGGGCATAGCTAATTTATTTGTTCAGCTAACCCGAATTGTGTCCTTCTTTACTCAGAGAGGTGTTCATTATTTTTTAAATTTTTATTTATTTTTAAGTTTATTTATTATTAGTTTTCAACATTTACTTCCACAAGATTTTGAGTTCCAAATTTTCACCCTATCTTGCCCCTCCCCCCACCCCCAAGATGGCATGCATTCTGAATATCCCTTCCCCTAGTCTGCCCTCCCTTCTATTTCTCCCCCCCCTTCTCTTATCCCCTTCCCCCTCTAAGGATATTCATTCTTTATAAAGAGATCATAGGATGCTAGTTTTGTTAACACATTAAAACCTCATCATTTGTGATGACATTCTATGATGATATCAACTGAGCTGAGAGAAGGGGAGCAGTGGAGAAATCCTACCTCACCTAACTTACACTACCCGTCCACTACTCCTATGACTGTCCCTTCTTCCTCCCTTCTTTTTTTAATTTTTAAATTTTTTTTCCTTCCTGCATTCTTAAAATCCTTTCTCAAAACCAGCGTCTTCCAATGGCCCCTTCACGGACCCTTTGAAGTCCCTGAAGAAAACAAGGGATGCATATAGAACCATAAATTTGGACTAGAAGTCAGAAGACTTGGCTTCTAGTCAGTCCTGCCTCACCCTAAGTAACCCCTCTAAATTCGATGTTGTTTCCTCATCTGTAAAATGAGAGAGGTTAAAAAAACGCCCAACCAATCTATGCTCTCTTCTAACTGGAGAAACTGGTACCATTCATTCATACATTCATGTAATCAATAGACATTTACTGAGTATCTATTATGTGCAAAGTGTGTGAAATACAAAGCTCTGCAGGAACCTACAATCAAGTAGGCTCAGATAAGACATGCCCAATGAAAGACATAAGGGGGACATGATTTTTTTTTCAAATATTTCTATCTGAATTGGTTTGCAAATTTCTTTGTACTCAGTATTTTAGGCTTTGCTTTACTTCTTTCACTCCTCAGGTGAAACTTTCCCCAGATCTTTCAATTGTACTTCTGTGACATGCTATCCTAGTTCCTGATCCAGTTTGTTAGTGTCTCTTAAGATGCAGTGGCCAGGGGTAGCCAGGTGGCACAGTGGATAGAACACTGGCCCTGAAGTCAGGAGGACCTGAGTTCAAATATAGCATCAGACCAAACACTTGACACTTACTAGCTGTGTGACTCTGGGCAAGTCACTTAACCCCCAATTGCCTAAAAAAAAAATTTTTTTAAAAAGGATGCAGTGGCCAGTTCTAAAGTATTGTTGGCTCTCCATTATGAGCTTTTCATGGAGCAGTGTGGCAATATACAATGAGTCACAATACTTTCATTACTAAGGTTATATACTGAGTATGATATTAAAAGGAAGAAGTTCATGTCTACATGAATTTTAGCAAGTACTTTTTTTTGGCAATAGCAAAAAGGAAAAAAGAAGGAAGGAAGGAAGGAAGGAAGGAAGGAAGGAAGGAAGGAAGAAGGAAAGAAAGAAAGAAAAGAAGGAAGGAAGGAAGAAAGAAAAAAGGAAGAAAGAAAGAGAGAAAGAAAGAAGGAAAGAAAGAAAGAGAGAAAGAAAGAAGGAAAGAAAGAAAGAAGGAAAGAAAGAAAGAGAGAAAGAAAGAAGGAAAGAAAGAAAGAAAGAAAAAGGAAGAAAGAAAGAAAGAAAGAAAGAAAGAAAGAAAGAAAGAAAGGAAGGAAGGAAGGAAGGAAGGAAGGAAGAAAGGAAGAACTTAAGTGTCCAGGTGTCCAACAAGTTTTTGGTGTCTCATTTCATACCACTAAATAATATTTTCCAAAATATTTTTTGCTATCCTCCCTCATACCCACT